GTGCACATAGAGTCAACACTAACACTGGTGCAGCCTGCTATGTGGCATCCTATAAATCAGAAGTCGCGGCCACAGGTGTCCCATAGATCACACAGTCACACCTTGGTGTCAAGCAGAAACAGCGGATGTGCGCACCACATGTTTTGCCTCCACTGCGGAAATCAATCACCTGGAGTATCTGAGCTGCTGGTACCACCTCTGCCTACCCTGCCCGATGCACTATGCCATCAACTCTCCACCGCACACAATAATGGCATCAAAGCGAGTGGGCCCCGCTCGCTGCTTTTCTTGTGCACTCAGTCAGTGCTCTACCCCACAGACACAGAAACCCTGGGTGTTCTTGACTGTTTTCTAAAGATTGTTGATCAACAAGAGGTCTGGATTTAAAGAAAAGACTAGCAGAAGAGGAATTAATTCAATTGTTTCAGGTGTTTTTATTTATTTATTTTTTCTTTAGCTGGCAGCAATAAAATCTATTTGTAGCACAGCAAAGAGAATGTGGCTGGTATGACAAGATTAAAAGAGCATGCAGTGTGAATAATTTCCACACACATTTAGGAAATGTATCATCAATAAATCAGTGTAGACAGCGCAAAGCTAAAGGGGGTCCAATTATGTTTTCATCCAATGTGGAGTCTGGCTTAGACATCATGGGAAACATTATTCTATCTTACTGAATTAATGTGCAACTTGTAGGATTTCTGGAAACACGATGGACATTTCTTCCCCGCTGACTTCCTCTTCAAACATTAGACTGAAAGAGTTTTACTTAGTGGAACACAAGCCTGTGTAACATGAGCCCTGTTTGCACTTTAATTTAGCTGTTACAGGGCGATTACAGTGGAGAAGGAAACTGACATGCTCCAGTTGGCATTGACTGAGGGAACTATCATGGCTTAAATTTGCAGTAAGGATAAAGAAAGGACTAAATAAAATAAATAAATAAAAAAATAAAAATCAAGTCCAATGAGTTGTCACACATCCTTAGGTGGCTTTCCAATCGATAAACATTGATAGGAGTTTCCCAGTCCACCTCTCAATCCTCTCTATACTGTATTTAAAGTAATGACTTTGATTGCGAGTGCTCCACAATACTTCCAGTTTAGTTGTTTTTATCAATTAGCAGTCACCACCAGGGATCAAGAATATAAAACGGCAAGAACAAGCAAAAAGATTCACACCGAATGTTCTGTTAAATGTTTAGATGAAACAACAGTTTACAATGTGTTAGTCCTTCATTTGGCCTCTCTTTTGTTCAGGAACAAAAACAAACAGCTGTTTATCAAGTGAGAACCAACTCACTGACAGCATGTGCCAAGATGGAACAAAGTGAGTACAGACTGAGAAGAAGGCCTTTCTTTCATTAATGTGTTTTATTTATGCCCTTAGAAATATTTTACTTTAGCAAACAATAGCGAAAGGTAATTGTATTGAGTCAATACTTCTGCATTAGTGTTAAGTACAGCAGTATTCTAGTAAGACTCAGGATCTCATGTTTGCATATTTGATTAAGGTTTTTATCAGATATGTGGTTGTATATTTAAAAAAAAAACATCACATCACCTCATTATACATCTGATACTGTAGCACACTCAGCATTATCTCCAGCAAAATCTGGCAGCCACAGATTTATTGGTCATGTTAATAAATTCTATAGCAAGAACATAGCAAATATGTGTACGCATTATCATAACAAAGCTTAGTAGTGACTCCACAATGTAAAGTCATGCAATTTGATGCTGCATCACTGAAGTGTGGTAAATGGCAATGTAAAATGAATGGCATCCTCACAATATTTTTTTCTGCCTGTATACTGTTTCTAGTGTACTCATGTGGGAACATTTTTAACTTGATGTTAAATTTGCATATGAACCTGGGAGAAATTAACTAAGATGATCCAGACATCACAAACAATACATGCGTACCTCAAGAATAAACTCTGAAAATATACTTATTTTTTTTCATGTTCTGACACAGGTAAAAAAAGAGTTCAAAAAAGGCCAACATACATGGCAAAAAGTATACAAATAATGTTAAAACAGTCTTTGAACAAATTATATTTTATGTAAATACTTTTAATCCATTATGATCAGCACACATACCATCTTATTCATCATTTTATGCTTTGACAGCTTTGGCTGTTGATTTTCCAAAAAAATGTGTATTGAAAAACAATTTAAAAATTCTGAATTACAACATATTAAATGAATATAAAAGTGGGCAACCATTGCCGGCTTTTGACATTTTTCATAAAACTGTATGTGGTCAGTCAGTGTCACATTGCCAATATCAATGGAACGTTAACAAGCTCTGCCAAATTGAATTTTTCTTCCCCCCCAATGTTCAAATAGGATCATCTAAAAATAGTTCTAATGATCTACCATATCAGCAAATATCAGGGACAGGGGTAAAATGGTGAACAACTTAGTTTGAGGAAATGTATTTTGTTCTTTTCTCTCCCCCTAATTATCCCTTAACCTTTAAAATTAGATGATACCCTGGCCTACAAGTCTGCATATAAAATAGTTCCAGATGGCTAACTCCTTACACTTCAAAAGTCACTTTACCACTGAAACTTTAATATTAATAATACATTGCATTAGTCAGTGGGATCAACCTTGTTTTCTTTACTGACTAACTATATTTTGTTTGCTAGATTTTAAACATTTAGTGTTTTTGTTTGTTTGTTTGTTATTTTATTTTTGTTTTTACATTTTTGCAGGTAAAACAAGAGAATAATTTATTCATGTTAATCATATTTGTGCATACTGTATGTAGGTGTCTCACCTGTATGAGGCGACCCTGTTCTGTCTGGAGTGTATTCAGGTCTTGACCCAGACTGCTTTGCCCCCTGCGCAGAGACTCATAGTCCATTTTCAGTTGCCCGGCATGTGCGGACAACTTGGCCACCTCCTCGGCCAGACTGACGAGCAGGGCCCGGTCCTGGCCTTTCACTGACTTCAGGTCAGAGTCGTGGTCCGTCAGCGAGTGAAGAAGGGAGGTCTGCACACCCTCTAGCCGCATGAAGTTGCTGTTGTAATCAGGACAGTTGGGGTCGATGAAGATGTTGATGCGAGAGCCATCGCCCCTCTCGACAGTGACCAGGGCATTTGCTTCATCCTGATTGGTGGAAATGTGGGGTAGGCCGTCGGACAAGGGCGGTGCCTGGTAGTGATTCATGAAAAGGATGGTGCCGGTCACAGTGACAGCCAGCAGTACAGCCACAAAGAGCAGGATGGTGCAAAGCAGGTAGCTGCAGCTCATCCTCTATGAAAGGGGGCGGAGTGGGGGTGGGGGGGGGGATAAGGGAAGCAGGGAAGAAGAGGGGGAGAAAAGAAAAAAAATGTGTTAGGATAAAATTTGCTTTAGCATAAAAAAATACATCATGGAGCTGGCCTTTTTAAAAACGAAATGACTTCCATCCATCACTGAGAAGGTTCTCAATACCTATTCAATTCTCAGTTGTATGCAATATAACCACATACCCATCATTTTAAATTGTGGGTTTCTTTGGATGATTTGTGAAGAAATAGAATGCTGATTCCTTCAACTGCCAGTCTCATTGAAAAACACACTACTTTACCACAAAGGAACAGGACGGTTTCTATCCAAACACCCTCACAACACTGATCCTGGCACAGAAAGATACAGCAGGTTTGAGACAGCAAGTTTTAGGATTGTTTAGTCTGGGAGCAGAAAACAACACAGGAAAACACCTAAAAGCCATTAATCAGACTAAGAAATCAAAGGTGATATTAAGAGCCAGGAGCGTATACAAGAAAGATGAGATTATCAAATCCTATTGGAACCACAGTCTTCATTAACTGGACCATTAAACTCAGTATTTAAAGTTACTTTTGAATCCAACTCCATCTTTCCAGGTCATGAAGGCTAAAAATGGATAGAAGATAACCACAAGGCCTACTTAGACATCTTCACTCAAACGAATCAGCATTTGATCTTTCTGTTTTATCACCAGGGGATGCTTCATATAAAAATATGTGAGCTGATGTGTGAGTCTGCTTGTTTTCTGCTTTTATGAGAGGGTGAGAAAAAGAAAACACACACATTAATATGCAAATTAGCTTGAGAGGCACATTGAAGTCCACTAATACAGGGGTAATGGCCTGCTGTACAAAAAATGTTTATGGTTTTTTAAAGCAAAAAAAAGGGGGAAAAATCAATTATCTAATGCATTAAAAGTTTCTATAAGCTTTGTGTACCCATGGCATATAGATAGAGGCCATAAAAAATACAAAATACCCCTGACATGTGGGGGTGTACAACTAAGAAGTAAAGTCTGTTTTAAAGCCCTCTTTTGTCCAATCACATACCCTGGATAATGCACTAAAAGGATTCATGTGGGCTGGATGTGGTTTTCTTACATGAGCCCTATTTGTAGCCTTGGGGCTTTATTCACCACCCACACAGAAAGACAAATATTGGGCCTGGAGCAAGTGAATGATCATTGATGAGTTCCTGATGGATGACTAAGATATTAGCAGTGCTTGTAAACCCTGAGTCAAACCACTAATAACAACCATGACTTATTTAAGCAGTTATTCATTTTCTTTTGGTCCATATTCTTTTGCAACATATTCCCAAAAATAATTGCTTAAACACNAGCGGACAGATGTTGGGTGTGTGGTCCTGTGTTTTGTTGGTGTATATTTAATATAATCCTAATCGCTATTTCAGTCTTTCTATCTTTCTAATTACTTCTCTCTCTGTTTTTCTCTCTCTCTATTTTCTCTTCACAAAAAAAAAAAAAAAAAAAACTGAACAAAAATATACAAAATGACTTTTAGATTCCTAACTAACTAAAAAATGAATTAGGCAATTGTTTTAGGAGGGTGACAATATGATGCTTAAATATATTAAACATCATTTGTGGGCAGAGTTCCACTCATCAGCTAACCAGCTATTAGTGGAACTAATACTAAAATGTGGTTTTGCATTTGCATGAACTTTAAAAAATTGGTAAAGACTTAACTCCTGATATCCATCCATCCATTATCTTCCGCTTTATCCCAAGTTGGGTCATGGGGACAGCAGCTGGAGCAGGGAAGCCCAGACCTATCTTTCCCCAGCCACCTCTTCCAGGTCTTCTGGAAGGACTCCAAGGTGTTCCCAGGCCAGCCGAGAGACATGGACTCTCCAGCATGTCCTGGGTCTTACTCGGGGTCTCTTCCCCATTAAACATGCCTGGAGCACCTCCCTAGGGAGGCGTCCAGGAGGCATACTTACTAGTTGCCCAAACCACCTCAACTGGCTCCTCTCGATGTGGAGGAGCAGCAGCTCTACCCTGAGTCTCTCCCGGATGACTGAACTTCTTACCCCATCTCCAATGGAGAGTCTAGCTACCCCAGAGAGAAAACTCATTTCAACCGCTTGCATCCGCAATCTCGTTCTTTCGGTCACTACCCAAAGTTTGTGACGATCATGGGGGTAGGAGTGTAGACTGATCGGTAAACAGAGTGCGTAACTCATGACAAATTAACACAATTCGTTTTCTTTACCACTCAAAATTTTATGTGTGCCACCACATCATTGACATATCCAATAATTACAGCATCTCAGGGAGAAAGGCGGATAAGTTTCCCCTTGACATCACACATGGTTCCAACCATGTGACATGATGACATATTTCCCTTTGTGATGACATACATTAGTTCATACAAAATTGAACAGCTCTACTGGAAAGCTTTATGAAACAAATGGCTCCTCAATATCTTTATCCCTTCTAAGTCCAATGTATCCCATCTCTAGCAGTGACATTCTTGATAAGGCTGGACTGTGAGAATTGCCTTTTCAGTTTATGCCACGTGCCATGCAGTGACATCATCTCCAACCCATGGACATGCATGTTTACATTCACTCTCCTAAACAAAGAATAAATAAATAGCATGAAACATGGCAGCATGCACCATGATCTAGTTTCCCATAATCTTTTTTTTCCAAATTTAACTTTTAAATAAAAGAATGCTTTTAACTGTGATCTGTGAATATTTTGAGTTGATCTATCTGAACGCCTGAGGGAGGTATGTTCAACGACAGTACCCATATGCAGTAGTACATTATACTGGCTGCCACATGGTGGACTAAGCATTAATGCGTTACAAATTAGCAGTTTAGTTTTAGCTTTTGCTTTGTCATATTTTTATTAAGTTAACCATTTGTTATTAGTGAAACTAATTTTTTTTAGTGGTTTATGTGTCAGTGCAGCTACAATTTTGGTTAGCTGTGCCCACCACTGCGAAAATAAATAAATGCATTTTTCTTTGTTACATTTCAAGTGCATGAGCCATTCTCGTTTGCTTTCACCTCACTTTAAACACACACATATATATATATAT